GTGCTTGCAGTATAGCATGCTTGTGGTGTGGTAGTTTATGTACCTATTCTGTACCATTACATTCGTACATGTATACATACAATCACTAATTCAGGGGAGAAAAAAGGAAAGTAAGCTTTGATGCCCAACCATCTACCTCAGGAACATCCTCCAGTAAAACGGACCTGTTGTCGAAGGCTCCTGTGGTGCCCTTTGGTATGGACCTGTACACCTGGGGGGAGAAGGCAAAAAAACCTACAATTGTGAGGTAACATGTGACTTTTTCTGACCCTTAAATCAGAATAAGTTTGGATTTTCCACTATGAAACAGAGAAGAATTTAAGGTAGCCTGTGTTACACAATTGCTGGCTACCAGAGACATACTAGTTGGACCTATCCAGTGCAAGGGCTGCCAGAAGCATGATTTTGTCAAGTAGAATTTAAAGGTTCGTATTGTTAGCCCTCAGGCATGATTTTGCAAATATAAGATATTATAAACATTGAAATATTGATGGTTGATTCTCTTTACTAGGGACCAGTCCCTGCACAGGTTCTGGCGTCCGTCTGATGAGGGTGAAATTGAGGTGAATCGCGTGGACCCGTCTCGAGAGAGAACCATCACGTTTGCCGGGGAGTTTGAGCCGGTCAAGTGGACGTGTAAGGCCCCACTGTCCAATGGGAAGCTCTGTCCCAGGATGGACAGATACAAGGTACGGTGTGGCTATTCCTATCATAAGTAGGAACACTTTTATTGCAGTACAACAGTTTTTATGGACAATAGGAAGTACTGTTTTGGGTGGGTTGTTTGTGTGTGTGTTTGTTTGTGCAGACAGAGCAGGTTGACAGCACGTTCAGAATAAGGTAAATAGGTCCGAGACAGGAAAAGGGATGAACTTGAGAGTAGGTTGACAGCACATGGGTGGGGGGAAGATTGATATGCACGGCGGTGTCAGTTTAAAGGGTCAGACACTGGAAATGGTGGATTTGTAGGTCACAGAAACACAAAATACTTTCTAAGAAATCTAAACTATCTGATTTCTTGTTGTAGTGCCCGTTCCATGGTCCCATAATCCCGAGAGACGAGACAGGGAAACCCTCCAACCCTGCAGATGCAGAAAGGGAGGAGAGGAGGAGAAGGGAACAGCAGCTGGAAGGTGGGTTAGACCCGGCAACACCAGAGCAAGGATCTAGGGAACTAACCCAAAAATCATTTTGCATTATAGTTGCCATTCCTGATGGTGGTTTGAACTTGATCCCAGGGCCAAATCCTATTCACTACCATTGCCACCATCTTGCCTCAAATTTCATTGCATCTGGGGACTTTCATAATGTCACCGCATAGTGAGCTGCCTGCTTGTATTCTGCCTTGTCATGTTTGGGTCAGTGCAACCACAATGTATGGAAGCATATGTCCTTGTGTTGAGAAACTTGTCACAAGAATGACATTTTTTTTGGTGAGAAAGAATGCATGGAAATGATGGGAAAGTATTGTTTAAGTCTCACACAAACTAATAGTTCAAATCTTCTTTCTAGAAACAGAAGTATCTGAGGACTGGAGGGACCCTGAGCTTCAGCAGGACATCGAGGCTGCTACTGGCATCGCTCTGGGCAACGTCAGGGGCCGGGGGAAGGGCAAAGGGAAGGGAAAAGGGAAGGGCAAGAAATCTACGAACCTCACAGACCTGAAGAAAGTCAAGAACACAACAAGAAGAAGACTAGAGAGGAAGGTGTTTAACAGGTCAGTTGTTTAAATTTTTGAGACAGTCATTTCAGGAAGTTAACTATGTATGTATGTTCATTATCTCCTTTCTTCTGTTCTTGTTACACCCCCTTCTGATCAGTAGTGTTTACTTTATTGCTTATTAATTGCATATACATATACATGTATTATGTTTTTATTTCCAGTGGTTCAGTCAAGAGAGTTGCAGCTGAAATGAACAAGCTGGACCAGAGACGCTATAATGACAAGTTTGGCAACCAGTTCAACTATGCACTGAACTGACAGACTGTGGCAACAAGTCAATACTATTGGCTTGGTTACAGCATTCACATCTAGGGAAACCTAGGCATATGGATGTGACTTACTCCCTACAGAGTCCCATGCTATTTTAAGACTATGGGGCATATTCAGAAGCCCTAGAATCATAAATAATGCTTTCTGGATGTGTTGTATTATGTGTGTCTGACTACAAGTAAGATAGCAGAACAATTTGTAGGACAGTCCACAATTAGATACATAAGGTACTAGTTTGGAAAGGAATGGAATTTGTGGATAATTGGCAGCTATGTCCAAAAGTTGCAGGTCTGTCTAGACACTACTGTGTGAATGTGTGCTTCTTGATGTGTTTCCTCATCTTGGGGAATTTATTGATGGCAAGGAAGTCATCTGTGGTTAGTGTTCTTGACTTAGAATCTAATTTAGTAACAGTTCTGGCTTTAAGTCTAACCATTGTAGTACTGCCAATGTGTTCTATGTTACAGGCATTTTATTGCCAATCTAGATCATTGCAAGAATTCTGATTCACTCACTGCAGTTTGAAATACCCTTTAAACCAGGATTAGTTTCATCAGAAACGAAAGGACTTCATAAGTGTCTTGCCAGTTTTCACAGGCCACTAAGAGACATAAAAAAGATGTCAAATCTGAATCATTTATTGATTACAAATACATATTTATTTATTTACATAAACCATCTTTAAATGCAGTTACACTCGGTCTCCTGTACACTGGATTCTTGTTCTATATTACAAATTGTCTAAAATTTTAACACCATCTCTGCTGGTCGTAATTCACATGTGATTCAAAATAAGAATATCGGTCATATATCTCCTCAAAATCTTATTGGCATGGCGAGTTACGAGCAAGCACGATCTTTTATCCCATCTTTACAGTTGTACGCCAGTCACTGACAATTCTCATTTGGAATAAATTTACAAAGTCTATGACCACATCAGTGTCAGTGTGACTTCCTCTGTACACCGTGGGTCGTCCAGGTGTGTCGTGTGAGTGCGTTGGACCCACTGGTCACCTGATCCCTCCGCAGTAGCGCCCTCCTCTCGGCGCCCTTCAGGTGCGTCTTGGCGTGCTTGGTCAGGTGATCCTTCCGGCTGAAGGCCTTGCCGCACTCCGTGCAGGGGTAGGGGCGGACCCCGGTGTGGATCCGGCGGTGTCTGGTCAGCTCCTCGTTCCGGGCGAAGGCGCGTCCGCAGCCGGGGTGGTCACACGGGTACGGCCGCTCACCTTGAGGACAACAATTGTTGCTTGATTAGGAAATGTACGGTGTATCTAAGGAGATTTAAAAACAGGTCATCTTTAAAACCGTGACGTTTTCTTATCCAAAAACCTATTGTTTATACAAGCATTCCAGTTATAAAATCAATTATCACATCAAATTTTGGTCGTTCAGCGATCACCATC